GTGTGCTATTAGGGATATTTTCTTCAACTCAATTGGCTGTTTATTATATAATTTAATAGGTAGCACAATAGGACTGTTTGCTACCTTAGTCAGTCAGTCTGTGCTTGGGTATGGCCAAATCCAGGTTTTCTCTGAGACAATACTGATTGTTTCTGGAAACAGGATCGTTTCAAACAACTTTTCAATACAATTTTTTTTCACATCTCTGAAAACAAAAGAATTACGTGGGGGGTTCCATTTTAAGAGGCGCACCCTGTATATTAATTGCACTTGTTAATACGAATTCGACGGTATTTTTTCCCGTGATTCATATATCGCTTCATGTGTCGAAATTTTTTCTGTTCGTTTGCTGAACACATGGAGTAAGCAATGTTTCAATCATCGAGCATTCCATATCTATCTACATAGATAGCAACGTCATTGTGTTTACTTCGTTTTCCAATTTTAATCTATAATCTGCTTGCTTTTTATGCCGATAGCAAATTTGATATGAGGTTTGTCATAATGTTAGTTTAGGTTTTTGTCTTGGCCCCTTTGGTAGTGGATTAGGTGCTTTTGGGAAGGTGTAAGTCAAGTAAATGTAAATAGTGCGTTTATTCTTTATTTAAAATAAATTGTTTTGTTCAGTGCTTCAATTTTTGTGTTGTCTTCTTTTTATATCGCTATAATACAAGGTGAGTCATGAGAAACTATACAGGGTGGGTCAAATTGGACACTTTTGAAGGGAAAGTCCTATTCCCATACTAGATAGAACAAAACTGATGTTGGTGCCTGTTGATCAATTCACATGGAAATGGTAAAAACTGCATATCGATATACAGGGTGTCCGGAAATTATGCGCAAAAAATCAAGGACGTCATTCTACATGATAACAAAGAGGTAATTTTGCACTTATCATGCGATAGGTTTTTTTTATACCTACGTATTTTTGTCTGAAAAACACGAATTTGATAATGAAAATGTGAACAAACCACTATTCATCGAGATATTTCAAGAAAAAGCTCGAACTTTTGCCTTCTTTTCCCCCCTGTGTTGGATGCATTTACAGGTACTTGCTCTTTTTATTTTGTCATTGGACACTTTATATACTCATGATGTACTTCAATGACACATTTTAAGATAGAAAATTCAACAGGAAATATGATTTTTATGGCGAGTTCTTCCTATTTAGTGAGCAAGCATACCAGATGACGGCCATTTAATCCATAGGCAATCCAAATACGACATGTCAAATGTCAATAGATTGCTTTGGAATGACATTACACACGCCATTATTTCATTCTTCCTTCTTTTCACTAAACATGGATAAATAACAAGAAAATCATATTTCTAGTTGACTCATATAATAAAAAAAATGTGTCAAACATTGTGTGATATATACAGGGTGTTTTAGTTTTTTGTAGCAGGACTTCAACAGCTTGAAGAAGACATTTTTTCAAGATGAAAATCTCATACAAACATATATGCGTGGGAGCTTCGTTTCCGATTCACGGGGTGTCCAAGTTTCAGATTTCTTTAATGTTTTTTGAATTTTCTCCTACAATTTTCGGAAAAATTTGATTGAAATTTGGTACACCTAATACACTTAAAAATTCAATATTTTAGGCTACCGAGCATTTTTGAATACCTACAGGCGAGGGGTAAATCTCCAAAAAAATTGTGTACACCAGACTACCAATGAACAAAGACTACCAATGACTACCAATGACTACCAATGACTACCAAAGACTACCAAAGACTACCAATGACTACCAAAGACTACCAATGACTACCAAAGACTACCAATGACTACCAGTGACTACCAGTGACTACCAGTGAATACCAGTGACTACCAATGACTACCAGTGACTACCAATGAATACCAGTGACTACCAATGACTACGAGTGACTAAAACTGATTACCAGCGATTACCACTGATTACCAGTGACTATCAGTTGCTTCTAGTGACTTCTGGAGTCTGACTATTATTGAATTCAATTTAACCTTGCATGAAACAATTGAACAAAGTCTCTGAAATAAGTAAGTTGTTTCATATTTTTAATTAAAAAAAATATAGGTATCCGAAAGATGGGATTATGATTATTTAATGAATTCTCTTTTGACACTACAAAGACAATGATATTAGGTGGTGCACTACGAATTGGTAATGCGAAACAATAATTGTTACTGATTTAAAAATAAATCTCGAAAAATATATTTCCTTTTACTGGTTCTAAGTGTTTTCTTTGAACTTTCTTCATATTCCAAGATTAAAAAACTTCATTTCGGAACATGAACAAGATTTAGGAAAGGAATGTTTAGATAAAACTCAAACGTATTTATTCGAATTTGTACTGCCCTGTATTGGAAGATGCAATATTTTGAGTACATACCTATAGTACTTTTAGTATGGTTCACGTCAGGGCATCACGTCTCAAACAGAATTATGTGGACTTAGCAGTATATATAGTTATGGTAATTTCAATGAAAAAACGTTGATTCTCAAAGCCAATTATATTCATTTATTGAACTATTGACTTTTGTCCATTACACACATGTATATAACTATAATATAACATGTTGTTCAACATAAAAAAACGTATTCGAAAATAATATGTTCACTCCACAAAAATCAAAGCCAATTATATTCATTTATTGAACTATTTATTTTTGTCCATTTCACACATGTATCTAACTATAAAATAACATTTTGTTCAACATGAAAAAAACGTATCGAAAATAATATGTTCACTCCACAAAAATCAAAGCCAATTATATTTATTAATTGAACTATTGATTTTTGTCCATTTCACACATGTATCTTACTATAAAATAACATTTTGTTCAACATAAAAAAACGCATTCGAAAATAATATGTTCACTCCACAAAAATAGAATACATAAGTAGGTAATATAAAGTAAAAAATTGATTTCATATATTTTGGTACCTAAATATTTTTCAAGTGAATCTGTTCTTGAGAGAAGTATTCCGACACTTTGTTCCAACTTTCTACTTTCGTTTCATACCTTTGAAAATGGAATTGATTTTATCTCTGTCATTCATAGAAATAGTCATATTTCCTACACCAATCATCTTTATTGGGCCATAAAAAATGAATTCTAATTCCACTTCTTGGATGTCATCATGTCTTGGCCACACAAAATCTTGTAGATTTGAAGTTAGGAATTTAATCTTAAAACATATATTGCTGATCTGACTGATGACCCTGCCAATATACCAATTCTCACTATAAAAGACTGCGTAATATTTCTCTAATTCTATTTGAACGTCATCTTTCACTTTGCTGTTCGATTGTTTTTTATCAGAAGATTTGAATCTCAATAGCCTGTCGGAGCTCAATTTTGAATTATTGTCAAAAAGCCAACACAATGTAGATTTTTTCAATGTGAAAACTTTCCCCTCTATTAGTACGTCTAGAAAATGTTTACCTTTTTTTGCAGATGACTGAACTCCATAATCTTTAATATTCAAAAAATTTCCAAAATTTTTCAATTCGGTTGGCAAGTCCGAGAGCAAGTCGACATTCTCCGTCGCGTTTCCATTTCTTTCTATAATATCTATTTCATCATGTGCTTTCCATATAATTTCTTCTTCCCTAGTAGGAACTGAATTTTCAAGTGAACACAAAAGATCTGGATTTGAATCACAAGCTAAATCATCTATACTGAGATCTATACCCTGCTCGAGAAATTGTTTATCCTGTTCATCAAAATGTTTATTCAAAAAACATACATTTTTTCCATATTTCAAATCAACTTTCATGCCTAATTTCGTACAAACCCTATATGCATCCGACAAAGCTTTATTTATGATGGAAGAAATTTCAATGTCCCCCGGAAAATTTTCTTCAAATTGAAAGCTAGTAATAGCTCCCAATTTATTATTACTTTCTCTGGGAAAAACAAATGTATTTGAAAGATCAGACACAGCATTCTGAAGATATTGAATTCTGTTAAGTCTCTGCATTATCTCCAATAAACTGAAATTTACGACTGTGGAGAAAGTAGATGTCATGGATCTAGTTGATCGGAATATTTGCTCGCAAGGTTGGGAACTGAAAAGCCATGGCGTAAATTGTGCATTTTTTCTAATGTCAGTGTTATCTCGATAGAGTCTTATTAATTGGACCAATGCATGAGCATTCAATTCTACACACAAATAACTATTCAGGGAAATGAAATTTTTGGAAATTGTGTAATTTCTCTCTTCATGCAACCAACCTCTCCATAACCTACAAAAAAACACACAATACCAGATCAGATATAGTCGGTGACAGATAGTTTCAGTTTTAGATAAAAAGGATTTGATTATGTTCTGCATGACTTGAAGAAAAGCTGACGTCCCGATATAATCTTCCCCTTGTTTGTCTAAGAGCTGTATCACAACTTCAGAACACATTTTCTCGGCCGACTTGAAATTCATTTTGTCTTCTGCTTTCAGGTCACTTTCAGTGAGAAAATGTTTATCTTTGCTTTCTTTCCGAATCAAGGTTCTCAAGTGAGACAGCTTTACTTCATAATTACCTAATATCAATGGTAAATGTTCTTTCAATATTCTGGTCCTTAGTTTTGTGGCAATGTGTACTGTATCTTGGATACAAATAGTCGAAGGAAGCAGACTCATATTGAACCAGTCCCAATTTTCATCTGGCATAATACTTTCTGTAGTTGGAAAATCTGTAATTATTCTCATACACTTCATCAGTCGAGCATCCCCATCGGAAGAAAAACCTATAACTTTTATGCCATATTTCTCTGCTTCCATTTTTATAGTTGTCAATCTCCTTAAGCAGTCGGTATATGTGAATCTATTATCAGTTCCGAAAACACCTACACAAAATGATGGTGACTTATCTATTGGTGTTTGAGCCATGATTATATATGCATAATTTGCCTTATTAATATTCTGAAAATATGACTCAATTTCTTGTGCAGATGAAGTCACAAATGCATTTTTTTGTGGAAGCCCGTTTTCTTCGAATGGAGAAACAAATCCTACCAAAGTGTCACTTGTGGGATTGTATTGAATTCTTCCAGTGATTCTGGTAGCATCCTCGCTAATCCATATTATTTTGGGCAGCTTTCTTTTCTCCAAAAACTCATTCAACTCTCTGAATCGCAGAACCCCCTCTTCAAAATTGTTTGTAGATGCTATTGTTCTTGTGACAGTAGAAACCGATGGCAGGGATTTCTTCAAGTTGGCATACAAGCTTTCGTAAAGAAGCCTGCCACCTATTATGAACAGGTAAACAGAAAATTGGAGAAGGTCATCAGAAAATTTATTATTTTTTGTCAATTTCATATTTTGTTGTGCAGCTTTATTCAAAATTTTGAGAAATACAGGAATATTACTCTCTGTATCTGTGGTATTCAGTTCAGGAATCTCCTGAAATAAAATTTTCTTGAGATCATCATTTTCTTTCATGACAAATTCTATTTGATCCAGATGTTCCACATAGTTTGTTATAAGAAGTTGATATTGCTTGGTTTTTGTACTGATATTTTCACGCCGTCTTCGATTTCTGGATGCTCTAGTGTATTTATTCCGATTCCATTTTCTGTTTTCATCAATTTTCCGTAGGTGAATTGATTCTTCTAGAGACCTTTTACCTTGTTTAGCAGAGGAAGAGGTCTCTTTACAACCTCTGCTCTTTAGAAAAAATTGTAATGGTTTTGAATCATCTGATGAGGAGTTTTCGAGATTTTCTCCCTGGTTTTCTTTCTCTTCAGATTCAAGTTCATCGCTTTCATCGATTTTTCTCCTCTTGGAAGGGCCTTTATTCAATGGTTCACTTTCAGGAATTGTAATTATATCATCGAAATTCGTTTGAGCAATACGAGGAAAAATACGTCTAAGTCTAGTTCTGGGTTCACCAACTTGTTCACCAACTCGTTCACCATCTCGTTCACCAATGAGTGCGTTGTGAGGTAATAGGCTGTTAGCTTCATCTCGAAAATCATTTTGGATAAGTCTTTCTTTTTTTTGTTCTGTGTCGGTTGAGGCATCCATAGAACTGAGTGAATCCTGGTTTCTCTTATTTATAGTAGGGGGGTGGACTTGGACATCTGTGACTATTACTATATTTGCGTTCTGCTTCTCAGAATGTTTTTCACTTTGGACGTCGTTGAAAGCATGTTCGGCCGTTTTCCTTGAAGATTCTGATGTTATGAATGTTTTTATAGATTTTTGGAACAGTGTACTTTTATTTGATTCTTTCTCCGTACCAGTTGAAGAAGAGCTGCTAACTAGTCCGGGAATGTGATTCACGTAATGGCGTGTGAAATTCGTAGTCACCCATCGACAGGTATGTATATTTCTGAACTTTTGAACCTGAAAATTTTCACGAAAATCAGTATATTTTGAATTATTATTTCTACTGATTTGAGTAGTTACAGTTCTTCACCTGGTCGTGATACAATTACCCGGACCGATTGAATATCCAGTAGTAATACTCGTAGTAATATAATGAGTGCAATGACAATTATCTGTTATTCTCATGGCATGAATTATATTTAAAAAGAAAATTCAGAGGAAAATTCCATGACTCAAATAATCAATTTCAATTTCAATCAATTTATTTACCGTATACAAGATTACAATATGAAATAAACAATGTGGTAACAATGGTGGTAAATAAATACAGAGCGCCCAAAAAAAGGTTTCCCTTGTGCATGGGCGTAGGTATCAACATTTTACATTTACATTACATTTTACATTTCACGTTTCACATTTTTCATTTTACATTATACATTTTACATTTTTTATAATATATTTTATTTATTTTGTTTTTACAGTGGGGTGGTTAGGTATGGTAAACACATGAACATGGTGACAATTATACGTTCGTAAATATCAGAGAGAAAAAAAAAAGAATTTATATGATAATCGATGTTTAAAAATACAGTTAATATAGTCAAGAGGCATAGTGAATCTCATTTCGAGTTTTTCCTATCAATTGCTCGATGTATTTCAGCTCTTGGGTAAGTATGCAGCCAATTTTTTAGTTTTTTTTTCAACAAGCCTAGCGATTGAATTCTCCGTAAGTCATCAGGTATATCAGCATATAAGACTGGACAAAGGTAGGTAAATGATCTTTGACATTTTTGAGTATTGACTCTTGGTATAATTGTTGTTTTGGCTTTGAAGCGTGTTTCATGTTTGTGGTGTATGTGCTCGTATTTGTGTTTATTTTTATGATGGTGGATAATTAAAGATTGGTAATACAGTTGTCGGGCATCTAAGGCTTTTGCTTCTGTGAGTAATGATTCAGTTGGGTACCTATAATCTTTGCGGTGTATGATTTTCAAGATCCATTTTTGTGATGTCTCTAATGGTTTTAAGTAGACGTCTCCGATTCCTCCCCAGACCTTTATACCGTATGTTATGTGTGTCTGAATTAATGAGTTATATAGGATTGTCATGTATTTCAAGTCGAATATTTCTCTGTAAACTTTAAATCTGTTGGCCATGCTTTTTAGTTTTTTTGATACATAATCTGAGTGGTAGTTCCATCTGAGGTGGCAATCTATAATTACTCCTAAGTATTTAATATGGGAAGCTGAGGGGATCTTTATGAGGCCGTTATTGAATTCCAGTTGGCTGTAGTTTGGGAGAGTGTCGCTGTAGCAAGTGAAAGGTATAAAAAAGGTTTTCTGGTAATTTATGGTAAGTAGTCGGTTTTGAAAGAAGTTCATTACATTCATAAAGTCTTTTTCTACTTTATTTTTTAGGGTATGCCAGGTTGAATCTTCGTATAGAATCGCAGTATCATCAGCGAAGCTGATGATGCTGCCTTGTGTTGTTGTTTGGAATAGTTCATTGATGTATACATTGAATAGTATAGGCCCCAACACAGTACCTTGTGGTACGCCGTATTCCAGTGTTTTTTCTGAACTTATCGTGCCATCAATGTTGACCACCTGTTTTCTTTCACTAAGGTAGCTTTCCATTAGTTTGAGTGACGTTCCCCGGAAGCCTACAGCTTCAAGTGTTCGAAGAAGCTCTCTATGGTTCACCGTGTCAAAGGCCTTGGCCAAATCAACGAAGATGCAGAGACATGGTTTACTTTTATCCATAGCATTATAGATTTTTTCTGTCAGGTCCATCATTGCGTCTTCAGTTGATTTGGATTCCTTGAAGCCGTATTGTTTTTCAGACATGACGTTGTATTTCTTGAAGAAGCTTTCAAAACGTAGTTTCAGAAATTTTTCAAAGACCTTCGCCACGCTATTTATTAAAGAAATTGGCCTGTAATTTATTACCAGTTTTTTGTTTCCTGCTTTGTATATAGGTTTTATTGATGCATTTTTTAATATACTTGGAAATGTGCCAGTGTCGATGGCTTTGTTTATAATGTAGGTTAGAGGAGCTGAAATGAGATCTGAGTGATCTCTTAATATCTCAGATTTTATGTTATCCAGTCCGGGAGCTTTACCTGTTTTGAGGGATAGAATAATTTGTTTGATTTCCTTGACTGTTGCGGGTTCTATGAATATTGAATTACTTATTCGAGTTGTTTGTTTATTCATTGACAATGCCGGGGTAATTTTTTCTGCGAGTTTTTTACCAATTGTAGCGTAATGATCGGCAAAGTGTTCCGCGATTTCTTTTTTGTCTGTAAGGTCGTTTCCGTCTTCTGTTGTAATGGATTTTAGTTCACTGTGATCTTGTTTACCGTTTATAATTTTAAGACTTTTCCATAACCCGCTTGGATTGTTTTTATTTTGATTAACCTTTTTTTCCAGAAATTTAATCTTTGAGTCTTGTATTAGTTGATTTAACTTATTTCTATACTTTTTGAATTCAATTCTAATGTTTTCGTTTTCCGGTTCGTCCTGCAGTTTTCTATATAAATCATTTTTTGTATTGATTGAATTCACAAGTCCGTCAGTGATCCATTCTTTCCTTTTGATGTTTTTTCTTTTTATTGCGATTTTATGCGTGGCGAGTTCACTTTTTTGTTTCAGAGTTTGTATAAAGTTGTTTGTCATTATGTTCACGTCATCTTCTAAGTATATATTGTTCCATGTTTCTCTTGTCAGGTGGTCCCGTAGCTTTGTTTTATCAATGTACAGTTTGTATTTTTCGTTCTGAATTTTTTGTTCCTGTTTTCTATCATCTATATATTTAATTTGTAGGATTACTGGAAAATGGTCGCTGATGCACGATTTGACGACGAATGGTCTCAGCCACTCATAAGGAGAGTCTGTCTTCACGAATATGTGATCCAGGCAAGACCGTGCTCTGCCTAGGATCCTAGTGTGCGTGTTAATGGTCGAGATGTAGCCCCATTCGCTCAGAATATTAAGATATTCCTCGCTTATGTCACTATTATCCAGGATGTTAATATTTATATCTCCTATTATTATTTTGAAATCAGATTTGCAGGTTCTTCTCGTTTCCAGGTGTTTTGCGAGACTACTATTGAACCTCAGAGGACACGTAGAAGGTGGCCTGTATATTGCGGTTATGTCAATATTATACTCATTATATTTTAACTTTAATTCAATTATTTTTATTTTATCCAGATCGATCACTTCATAGGAATACTCGTATTGATTTTTTATGTATATCAATACTCCATCATTTTGATTCACTATACCTCTGTTATATACCAAATCGTAACCTGCTAGGTCTAATGAGAAAAAGTCAGAGATTTTCCATGTTTCACTGAGAACTATGACATCGAACTCATCTTCATATTCATGTAAAGTTACCTTTAGTTCATTTATATTTTTAACGACACTACGGATGTTAGTGTGGAATATTCGAAGGTTTCGTTTAGGTTGTTTTTTTACTAGTATGTTATACTCGGTTGTATTTTGTGCTATTTCAGTTTCAATCTTTGGCAGTTTGAAATTATTAATATAAGGATCCATAATTACTATATTTAGTGCGGGGAAAGGAAGGTAGAAAAGGACAGATTTTTTTTTTTATACTTATTTTGGAGTTATGTTCCTAGAAAATAGTGAATAATATTGCGTAACCTACGTTGCGTTTCTCTGTGTAGACCTCGTTTTGATCTCTTTTGCTGAGTTTTTTCTTTCTCTGGTCTCCGGCCTGCTTTGTGTGAAACTGCTCTCAATATTTCTGGTAGTTGTGTTTTTCTTTTTCTCCTCTTTTGTTTCCTCTTCTGTCTTCTTTGTAGATTTATCTGATTCGCTTTTTTCTTTCTTAGTTCTTTCTGCGAGCGGCTTCGAAGGGGTTTCTGGTGCGCTAGTGGGTTTTGGGAAATCTGTTGATTCAATACTTTTTTCAAAAACCAATATCTCTTCCGCTGTGTATCCTATATTGTTTCTATAGAGTTTTTCTCCTCTTATGAAGCTGCCTTCTTCACCACTTTCTCGTATTTTCTTTAGGTATTTTCTCAATATCTTATTTGATTCCTGTTGTTTTTTTGTTAAGTCGGCTGAGATAGATATGTTTGTACCTTTAAGTTTTTTGCAATTTCGTAGTATATTGATTTTTGTGAGGGTTGATAGAAGTTCAATTTTGATTGGGCAATCTTTATTAATGATTTTTTTTTATTGTCATTATATAGATAAATATGTTATCTCTTACATTTTCCGAGATATTTGATGTTGAAGTTTACATTTTCTTCAGATTTCCTCGTCATATTTGTTGTTCAATAAATTTTGAATGAAAACTATGAGAAATAATGGCTGATGGATAGGCGAATTTGGAACAATAAGGTGCGGGCCCCGAATAGTCCTGATTCGTCCTTGACAGACACTATACCCTGGCCACATAAAATGTCGTGATCACCTGAGAAAATCTTGAAGAAAATGTAAACTTCAACATCGAATATCTCGGAAACTGTAAGAGATAACATAATATTTCCATACACATCTCTGAAATCAGAAAAATATAATGTAGGTATATAATGATAGTAAAATATATAGGGTGTTCCATTTAAAAATTTTAATTAGTTGCCAATAACTTTTTTATCTAATTTTCAACTGTTTTTTTGGTTTAAATATTAGAAATTGACAGGAAAAATATGAAAGATCGTATTTTGAAAAACAAAATCGAATAATAAATAAAAAAGTTTCGAGGGGGTTCAAAATATACGTGAAGACCTTGTACATGAAATTCCATTTTAGAAGGCGGCGCCAATTTATTATCTAATAATATCTAAACCGATCTAACCTACCTTGACTTACAAACTATAGTACCGAGTAAAGTACGTTATAAATGTAGCACCATAGCACCAACTTCAAAATACAGTGTGCTGGAATAAGTGTTACCCTGCTCTCAATATTACCTTCTTTATTTTAATATTATTAGCGATTTTTGTTATGATTTCTGCGTTTTTTCTAAAACAAATTAAATATAAAGGGTGATACTGGTCATCGACAATTTTTAAACAGAAACCTCCAATTGTTACGAGGCGTACAACATACCCAACCTATGACAACTTCGCGAAACAATTACCGCCGAATGCCATATTGATCAAGAAATCTTGCAAGGAATTAGAAAAGAAACAGAAAATATGCTGTATTACTGGCCAATCAATTTGGGACATTTTGTATTCCGCATGCATCAGAATCCGTAAATTTTGTCAGGTCCGAGGTCAGGTCCTAATTCCCAAACTGATTTGATTCAATTCGGGAATCGGGACACCCCGTAGAATAATCAATTATTCAATCGTAAATTTGAATTCAATTGAAAAAAACGCAAAAATAAGAATACAAATTGACCCGTTTGAGAGTTTTAACGAAAATATCCACTAATCCACTACTTCATTGATCACAATCTGTTTGAAAGCTAGAGCCTGCCCCGAGGCCTGCCCTTGAGCCTGAGCTCTTACTCGAGCTCTTATACTTGCGCCTAAATTGTTGCCGACACCCTGTATGAACAAAAAACGTAAAAAATGAGCTTTTTCGGAATCTGAAATAATAATTAAGAGTTCCCATGCAAAACAATTGTCGATGAGAATATCATATCTCAACAAGTATCACATTGGTATAGGTTTTTAATTTTTTCAAAAAGAACAAAATAATATGACTTATATCAGCGCACGTTATTGATCAGTTCAGTTATCAAATTATTTTTCTCTGTTTAGTGCATTTATTTGAAGTCGGTTAATTTAATTTTTTTTATTTTCATTTCTATAATCAACTCTCCTCAGGGAATTTAGAGATATTCAATCGTTCCGGTACTTTCAATTAAGCCACGATACACACACGGTTCAATTTCTTTTTCCATCACGTGGTTATCACTTTGATATGGCTTTAATGCCGAAAAATCAGAAAAATTACTTTTCTTTCAAACAGCTTGAACGATTGGAGAAAACGATTTTTCCTACGACCGTGCGCTAACTAGTACTTTTCTGCATACATTTGCGTGCCCAAAGTTACACTTTTCCGCACGCCGTGCAGATGAGATTTTTTCCGAACTGATGAGTGCGGAAAAGTACCCGTAGGAAAAATTTTGTTCCAAAATCTCAACACAAAGATTACGTTTTCCGAGAAATGTCATTCTTTGACAGCATTTGCGCTCGTGAGCGGAAAAATTTAAAAAACGCGCTCGCGCATGTCGCTCTCATATACGCTATTAGAGATTGCTATCATTGTACATTCAATTTCAATATAGTGAATAATGAATTGAAATGATTATTTTCATGAATATTGTTCAATGCATGTTAACAATTGAAGTATTTTTTGTTTTGTTATTAGTTTACTATGTCCATATTATATATGTAATATGTTGAGTAAAGAATCAAGTGTTTTTTCCAAGAGCTGCGTTTGTAGAAAAAATCTTGTGTGTATTCCGAGCACAAAGTGTCATTGCCGCTCTCCAAATATTACCGCGCCCCGCTTCACGTCGCGTGGTAACTTTCTTTGTTGAGCGGCAATTTATCACTTATCGCTCTAACCTACACAAATAGCTATTTCCGCACGCAAACACTTATACGAAGTCGTTCGTCTAACTGTTTTTGCGTGCGGTTCTTGCAGATCGAAAAAAAAACAATTTTCGAGAAAATAATTGTGCATATTATCTATCAATTATTATAAAATTGCTCAATAATAATGGGAAGTAATTTATTCCCCTAAGAAAAATAAATAATCAAGAATTTTCTATATTGCCTTCATATTATAATATGTAGTCTTAATGAAGTGCTAACCACGTGACGTCATCTGCAGCAGGAATCAAAATTTTTCACGTTAATGACCTTGGAATGGCACGCACTTGGGCACACTTATAGTGAAAGGCGTTCATATAAAATAAAAATCACAATAAAACTCACCTTTATTTCTTTTTCGCAGATTGGACATTTGATGTTTGAATAAACATTGTCCAATTGATCTAATTTTACTATGAACTCGTGGTCTCTAAAAGGTTCCATGCATATCCGATGATCTTCTTTTTTGAGACTCTTTATGCGATTTAGAATTCCCGTTTTGACGACTTGTCTCAGCATTCCAACCTCCTCCACCAAGTTATCATGTTGTATCCTCGGTTGTACTTGTTCCGAATCGTCACCCCTATCATCCAGTTTTTTTTTATTATCATTATTTATCGATCGCGCATTTGCTGCCCTTGAAAATGAAGTACTGGTAATATTGTTATCTTTTTCGACATCTTTCCTGATCTTCTGAGCGAACTCTTTCATCTTGTAGATGAGAACTTTCTCCCCCGAAAAAAAACGAAACGAGTCTATTTTCTCTTTAAACACTCCCAAATACTCATTCCAATTAGGAACTATCTCCTTCAAATCTGTTTTTGCGAATAATTCCATGTCTTGAATGTCTTTGTCAGTTATATCTGCCAGTGATACACTATTACCGAAACCAGAAAGTGCTAAATGCAATTTCACATTGTGTGGTATTTTAATTCTAAGGGATTTCTCCACTTGTACGAAGAAGTCTTCAGTTTCATCCATGGTTATTAAAACAGAAAAAGAACCATTTGCGATTTCTCAACTATTAACTTATCACAAATAACTTCAACTGCGAAATTCGCTAATAAGCACTCGCAAAAGTCGGAAAGATGGATTATGAAATGAGACAAATGAAAATGAATCTTAAAACAAACGAGCCGCCCCTCCAACGACGTTTTCACGATAGTTTTCGCGCTTTTGCATTCGTCAGCGCTCGTCTTTGATCTCGAATGCAGCATAAGCGTACCTACGGAATATCTTCCAAGGGTTATAGGGCCCACGACTGCTCGAAGCCCGAGGTCTTCTGCGTAAGTGATCTATTATTGTATTTCCAAAGTCAAATATTGGAAAAGCATGAAATTCAAGCATGTTACGGGGAAACTATTAGAAATTATCAAAATGGGAAATTTCGAAAAAGAGTACTTTAAATCCCTTGGTTCGTTTGTTTGGATGGTTTGTGGGATGCAATTGAAAGAAACATTTGAAGATATCAATCGCCGCATCAGAAGAGCAATAAGAAAAATGAAAGATAGTGATTAGGAATTATGAATCTCATGTGATTGAGAAAAAAACTCGGAAAAAAGGAATTTTGTATTTTACGCACTGTTCATTCGTCCTGATGACAATCCACTTCTAAAACCTTCAATAGTGAAGAGTGTAATATTCGTACTGTGAAAAATAGTTTTTACTAATTCAGCCATTTTATGGATAGTTCCTAGCCTCGGTTCTAGCCATTGTATTTTTTTACGTTCATGCACAAAACAAAACCTCATTGATTTTTATTTCACTCATCTGTCATTCTACTACCTATAGCGTTTTGTAATCATGACAAATATAATTGTTCAAACCGTCGTCCTATTTAGTTTATTTTATTTATTTCCAATATTAATGATGGTAAAAATAAAGTTCAAGTTAAATTGTTCCTAACAAATTCGCTCCTTAATTTTTCGATGCAGATCGATAGTGATAATTATTTATCAAATATTTTTCTATTAAATTGAGCTTTGTTTTTCGACACTTAGTACCACCTAAATGAAACATTATTTGGTTTTTGCATAAACCGGCATAAACGTAAAAAAATATTGTATGCAACTCGTGCAAATAGTGTTTATTGCACGCGATGTTGAATTGTCAAAGGATGCAATGAGGCAATAGATAATAATGATTATTTCCCTTATCATGAAATAGACCAATCAGACACCACCATTTTGCGAGCGAAATCTGATTAGATAAGTGATTGAAGCACAAGACCTGTTTAACAGCGGATAATTTTTTGTTTTTCATTTTTTCGATTTTCACTGATACTTTCTATTATTGTCCTAATATTGATTCTCATATTCTCATCAATAAAAACTTAATTTCAGATAGATTTCTCCAACAAATAATTTGACATAAGGCGATGACAACACGTCAGAATTTGAAATATTTACATGCACTTTGCTATGAATGACGAGATTAATGCTTCTTAGATGCATTACGGATGTATTGTTTCGGATGCGTAACCAAGGTAATAGAAACACGAATATTATCTATCCACTGAGTGTCATTCTAGAGAATCGTTTGATTGAACGATTTAGTGAAAATGATGAATTTACGTTTTAGTAATATTTCGTGTGATTGTATGGATCTGGCAATTCATAAAAGTTTGCCAACTAATACTGTAAAGTGAATCTGGAAATAATCTAGCCGTATACCCTCGACCAACAAATTATCGAAACTTTTTTTGCATGATTTTGCTTCTTGGCAAATTGTTTCATGCACAATAAATTGATCAATTTATTATCGTGCATTTTTCAAGAAAAATCATGCTCAAAATTCAAAATATTTCGATAGTTTAATCGCTTATATTCATAGGTATTGGGATATAATATATGAATAAAACTATTTCCATTTTCATGTTATATTTAAATTTAGTGAAATTATATTTCTCAACCCAATTCTTTTAACTAAGAATAAGTCGAGGAATGAGTACTTATGGAATGTTTAGTAGAATAATAGGGCTGATGTCAATTTCACATAGGTACCTAATATGAATGAACTGGAAAAGAATACATTAACGAACACCTACATATTCAAAATAGTGACGGGATTGTGCTAATACCTCAGGGAGTTCCAGAGACATACGATTTTTATTATTATGAATCGAGGTTCTTATAATGAAACCTGCTGTGTGGGAAGAAAAATAATATGATTGGTAGAAATAGGCCAACGCCGCCTATGTGTCGGCATAGTATTCATAGGGAAAGGCGCCGCCACCCGCCACACGACCGATTTTTTTGCTGGAGCTGTTTTCAACATTCTGTAAACTTTGCGTTGAAAAAGTTTAGGCACCGTATAGAGTAGTACAAGTATAAGACCTCGATATAGACTATTGAATAGAATCACTTGCATTGGGGACATTGCGATCTCAATTGCAGTAGTCGACCGAGAATTTTTTTTCATGATTAAAAAATCATCAAAACAAATCAACAAATAAGTACACAATTATTTTTATTAATCACTGATTCAATATTCGTTTCTCAATATATGCAATTATTATCAATTGATTTCAATAATCTCTCTAATTATGTTTTCGAAAATTCATCTGACTTCCAAAGACTGCCAATGACTACCAGTGACTACCAATGACTACCAGTGACTACCAATGACTTCCAGTGACTACCAATGACTTCCAGTGACTACCAGTGACTACCAATGACTACCAATGACTACCAATGACTACCAATGACTACCAATGACTACCAATGACTACCAGTGACTACCAGTGACTACCAATGACTACCAGCGTAGTGTACACCAGACTTCCAAGGAAATTTACCCCTCGCCTACAGGGTGATAGACTTTCAGGGGTCGTACCCAATTTAACCCTGTAAAACTTTTTTGCGTGCCGTGTCTTCTTTCAATGGGACATAGATTCAGATTGTCCTCTCAATTTGGAAACATTTTACCTCCATGTAAATTTTTCGAAAAATTTGAGGATCTCGAGATAAATGACAAAAATAAATTACTTGTAATAAAACCGTTATTTCTCAAACACACTTATTTGACATTTCTCAAACATTTTATTGGAAAATAGAATGACCGAAAGCTTCCATACCAAATGAAATTCAGTTGCAAAATTGAATTGATTTTTCTGAACACCATTATAATTAAAACTAGAAAAATCAAAACATAAAAAAAATCTGAAACTTTGACACCCTGTAAATCGGAAACGAAGCTCCCACGCATATATGTTTGTATGAGATTTTCATCCCGAAAAAATGTCTTCTTCAAGCTGTTAAAGTCCTGCTACAAAAAACTGAAACACCCTGTATAAATTGTCCAATGTCTAAATGCGATCCAGAAGACAGGCGGAAAAAAAGGTGAGATTTGTAACTTTATAGTGAAATATCTTGATAAATAATGATTTGTTCACATTTTCATTATCAAATTCGTGTTTTTCAGACAAAAATACGAAAGTCCAAAAAAAAAATTTCGAAAAAACACCCATCGGATGATAAGTGCAAAATTACCAAAACAGAAATTCAGTTTATATGTACGTGAGTCCGGAAATGCATAGTTTTGAACATACAGAGTGATGAAACTTTTGAAAAAGATGGGTTTTTTATAAATATATCAAATGTCCTTCCCTCAACTTTCTTGAAATTTGGCAATTATATTTTTTGTCAAGAGGGGCTGATATAGCCATCATTCAATTGGAATTATAAAATCCAGTGGCGTCGCGGGGGGCAACCTACCAAATATTATTGTCAATAAAATGTGCGCCACTGATTTTTTTGAATATTGTATCTTTATCACCTATTGACCAACGAAAAATACAACATTTAGGTCTCTTGAATTGTTTTGATAATTTGCTTCATTTCCATGGAGAAAAATGAATACCAATTTATTGCATAAAGTACCAAAAAATGACTTCAAAAACTTGGGTGAAAATGAATGCTCGATCAATGTCAATAGATATAGAATAAGTATGAAGATTCATTTTCTTCAAATATTTCTTGATACATTATTGAGAACTATGTATTCTTGGTCCAGGAAGGTGTAGTTTTCGATAATACACAATGTGTCAAACATGTATTATAAAATATTTGAAGAAAATGAATCTTCATTCTTATTCTACGTCTATGGACATGGATCACACATCTAATTTCACCACTGTTGTTGAAGCAATTATTTTTTTCCTCGGAAACGCATCAAAATAGCAAAACAATTCAATATACCAAAATGTTGTATTTTCAGTTATTCATTAGGATATGAAGATATAGAATTTGAAAAAATCAGTGGCGCACATTTTATTGACAATAATATTCGGTAAGGTGTCCTCGGGACGCCACTGGATTTCACAATTCCTTTCTAATTATGGCTGAATCAGACCCTCATGACAAAGAAAATCATTGTCAAATTTCAAGAGAACCGGTGGAAGGATATTTGAGATATTCATAAAAAAACGATTTTTTCTAAAAAGTTTAACACACCGTATCTTGAATACTATGGATTTCCGGACCCACGTTGTCTCATGCAGAATCAACCCCTTGATTTCTTTCGCCTAATTTCCGGACACCCTGTACATCTTCGTTTCAGAGTTACAAGGTGTTTTTTGAAAATTTGAATTTTCGAATAATGGCTTAAACTAATTTTTTTGTCAGAAATTATTCTTTTCCATAAAAACATTTCCAAAGCATTGTGTTTGTCATGAAAACAGTGATTATCATGAGAACATACATGCAAAAAATATTTGTAGTAACTTTTCAAATATGCCACACTCACTCACTCTTTGACATCATTGGAACACCGTAGAAAGGTCGGCGACCTTTCACTATTCTATCGATACTTCCTCGGGAAATGTTCTTCGGAAATCTCTGCTATCATCCCTTCACTAGCAATACCAGTCAGACGAACTAGACGAGCCCAGTCAGCACATCCTGTCGTTGTCAACCTCGAAAGATGTCGAACAGCACTCTATCAAAACTCATTCATCCATAGAACGGCTAGGCTCTGGAATT